TGCTCGGCGCCCACAGCAGTGCGAAGTGACGTTCACACACCACGACATTCCTCTAAAACAGGCCATTATTCCGTGGTGCTGGCAGAGTCACGGAGTTGTGCAACCTCCACCACTACCTAATTCCAGAACATTCCAGCACCCCACAGAAGCCCCACCAGCATCGCCAGGCACCCCGCCCCCCTTCCCCCTGGCAACGGCTAATCTACTTTGTGTCTCCAAGCCCACTCGGGGCACGTCATCAAAACGCCCCCACCGTGCCAACAGGCCACAGGGCGCCTGTCTACTCCTCTGCGGATGGCCGTTTCGCACACACTCTGTGTGGACATGTGTTCACGTAGCTAGGAAGACGGGCTGGTGGGGGCTGGAGGCACTGTGGTCGGCCCCGTGAGGAAGTGCAATGAGGGTACTATCTCAGAGGCTTCTCCCAGCAGAGTGACACCCAGGCATCAACTGGAGACTCGCTCGTTGTCCAGCCTCCTGACTAGTCCCCTTTCCGAGTCGGTGAAGACAGGCTGCAGGAGGCCACAGCACTCCTGCCCATGGGCACGGGGGACAGTGACCCCAGGACTGCCTCCTGGCACAGGTGCCAGGGCTAGATTCCCACCCTCCACTTCAGTAGCTACTTGGTGGGGGCAGGAGGGGGTGTCTGTCTCGCTGGTGCTCCGTCGCCCTCCCCAGAGGCCCAGGCTTGCGGGAGATGCCAAGTGTGCCCCTACTTAGGGCCGCGCTCGGCCAGAGAGGCAGTGACAACCCCCCAGGCTCCCGCAGATCCCAAGCCCCCGGCCTCAGTGTGTGCACCTTTGATTCTAATGGGGTCAGAAGCAACAAGGAATGCCTAGTGGTGACCTGAGGCATCTGGGGTCCCCAGAAGCCATCACTGCCCCCCACACAGAGAACGGCTGGTCGGAGCTGGAACATCTGGACACCGCCATGGGCTGAGAGGCAGGAGGTCTCCGCGAGTGCCCTTTCCCCAGCAGCTCTCGGGTGACCATCCTGCTGGCCACAGTCAGCCAAATCCCCCGGGACCCAGCCTGGTCACCCGGGGCCGCCCAGGGCCACGCCACGCCCAGGCTCCACATGCAGCCAGGCCCCGCGGTTGGGGCGGCCTGAGCAGCCCGTGTCCACTTGAGTGGCAACTTTATTTTCAGTGACTCTCTTTTTCCAGGACTGAGTCACTCCCTGCAGTGCTATATAAAGGCTGAGGCAGTGACTCAACGCACGCGGGCCAGGCCACACCGACACAGCCCCTCCTCCCGCCTGTGGCCTGCCCCGTCCAGGAGCAGGCCCAGGGCACGTCCGCTGAAGGGGGGCAGGGGACTGAGCGGGTCCTGCCTGGGGGTGGGGGAGACAAAGGCAGGCACTGGTCTAATGCGCGCTCCTGCCCAGCCCTGCCGCCACGAAACGCGCGCACCCCCCTCCACCCCCAACAGCCGATTCCACCCAGAGCGGGAGGCTTCCTCCCAAGCTGTACCTCCAGGCACCCCTGTCCTGGACAGCTGTTTCCAAGAACGTAAAGGTCAGGAAGAGGCTCTCGCCCGGCACGGCAGGAAACAAGGGCAGCGGCCCGCACACAGAGAAGTTTCCCCAGGGGAAGCAGGAGGCGGGCCGGGCGTCCACACGGGCACAGCGAGATGGAGCAGCAGAACCCAGCTCAGCCCCGGGGGTAGAGGGGGGTGGTGACACTGGAGCAACCGGTGGGAAACCCAAGCCTCCAGTACAACCAGGGGTCACTAGGGCGGACACGAGAACAAGACACCCACGAGGGAGGGCGGGAACTGTGGCACTGGAGGATGCTGAGCACTGCTTAGGAGCCCCCCCCCCGCCAATATATTACATGGGGCAGGGTTCAGAGGGACGCCCGGTTTGAAGCACAGGAAAGATGTAATCCTCCTTTCCTGGGAAGCATCGTCTGGGGCACGGCAGAGGGATGAGGATTTGGGGCTGATGGATGGGGTCGGGTGAACCCCACGGGGCTGGATGGGGAATCGCTGATCGCAGGCCTCGGTTCTCCTCTCCTCTCCCCGAGAAAGCGGGGTCTGCCTTTTGAGGAAAGAACCAAACCAAATGAACAACCTGTGCCACCCTGGCCGGGAGCCTAGAGCGGTGTGCGGACTCAGCCTGCGTCGAGAGCCAGTTCAGAATCGAACCAGAGTGGCAGGGGGTCAGGTTCTGGCTCAGCCAGAAGCAGCTGGAGATTCTTAGGACAAACTCTGGTCTGAAAAGCAAACAAGAAACCTAACCAGGTGGAAGAGCAGGGGAACGGCACGGGGACCCGTTCTCTCTCATGGTCCCTGAAGTGACTCTGGTTCCAGGAATGAGGAGATGGGCTGCTCTGGGCAACCGCACGTGCACCTCACAGACCTAAGGGGCCCAGGGTCACCAGAGGCAACAATCTGATCAGAGCACGGAAACACAGGAGAGAGCTCAGGGGTGCATACCTCAAACCCTGCCATCACGGGAAAAGAACTGAAACCAAACACCAGGCGTGGCCCCAGCACTAAATCAGCGGCCTGGTCTGCACATTTCACCGGGAGGGTTCCCCAGGCCCTGTGAGCACTGCAGGGAAGGTCCCAAACAAACTCAGGTCTATGGGAAGGGTCACGAGGCCAGTGTTGGAGAGACAGTAGTGCCATGGGGGGCGGTTTGCACTGGGAAGATTCCAGGTATACCGGCATCGGTGGTCTTTAGGCTCGGTGAGAGACAGGGGAAGTTTCCAGAACAGAGATGGGATTTTCTCCAAACAGCTGGACTCTCTAAACCATCAGTATTTTGTGTGTGTGTGTGTGTGTGTGTGTGTGTGTGTGTGTGTGTGTTCACACTCTACACAGTGAAACAAACCTGCGGCATCTAGTGTATCCTAAAGAGCATATTCCAAATTAAAAGACAAGTGCTGGGCTCTAGGGGCCAAGCCTGGGGGGATGTGACAGGGGTGTGTTAGGTGTGTATATAGGTATGTGTACATATAGGAGAGGGTGGGATATACTGTGTATCTGCTGTATTACAGCTCTTATAAACCATACAAACACAAAGCAGTTCTGTGCCATCAGAGCCTGTCATTATACTTTTTTTTTTTGCTTTTTGAGTCACACCCGGCAATGCACAGGGGTTATTCCTGGCTCATGCACTCAGAAACCACTCCTGGCGGTGATCAGGGGACCATATGGGATGCTGGGAATTGAACCCGGGTCGGCCATGTGCAAGACAAACGCCCCGCATGCTGTGCTGTTACACTTTAATGGCTAAGAAACTGGACTTCTGGAGGGTCGTTAATTTTATCCCAGCACCAGTCACAACCCCGCCCGAGGAAATGAACATGGCAAACAATGCCAGGAACAGTCCCACTGTCTTTGGTACCCAACCACGGATAGTGAAGCTCAGCAAGGAATAGGTGTTGTTACAAAATGCAATTTAAAAATCCTTTTCTATGAAGATGATAATTAAATAAAAACAATGGATGAAATTTTATTCCCAAGTAATCACAATCTCCTTCAAATTAGCTGTGACTGGGGTTAAAAGTCACAACACCTGGTCGCCGGCCTTGTCCTGGGGGCAGAGCCCTCTATCAGGGGGCTGGCCTCTAGGCCCACCTCTCACAGTCCACCCCCGGCCTCTCCGTGCTGCCCGATCCTGCCTGTCCATCTCTGTGATACCAACAGTCACTGCCGAGGACTCAGGGGGTGGCCGTGTCCAGCAAAACCCCCACCTGCCCCAGTCTGTCTGGAGTGAGGCCTGATCGTGTGGGGAGTCAGTGCCCTGGGGTCCTGGTCTGCATCTACACCACAGGGCCTGCTCTCACTGGGTCAGAGGCCTGGGGTTCTGGTCTGCGTCTATACCACAGGGCCCACTCTCCCCGGGTGAGGGGTCCTGGTTTGTGTCTATACCGCAGAGCCCACTCTTACCACGTCAGGGGTCCTGGTCTGAGTCTATACCTGCGGGGCCCACTCTCACTGGGTCAGGGGCCTGGGGTCCTGGTCTCTGTCTATACAGATGTCTTTCCCACCCACCTGCTCGGTCTCCTTTGACAGTCTCCCTCCCCGAGAACACAGTTCTAAGCAATCTTCCTCTTACACACACGCCACTTCTAGAACACTCCAGCCACAGAAGGCGTTCTCCTTCCTACTGGTTAAACTTTCCCCGGGGCAGGAGAGTGAGGCCAGTGTGAAGCAGTGGGCAGGCAGCGGCGGGAGCAGGGCTGGGCGTGGCCCAGTGCTGTGAAGGGGTCAGCTGGGGAAACGAAGGTGGATCAGAGCAGGGGCGCACAGAGAGCAGCACCCCAGGCCAGTGCTGGAGACTGAAGCCGGGCAGGGGAGGCCGACCAGGGACGTTCATGACAGCGCGGCCTGAGGACGGGGCTGCTGGAGGCAGGGTCTCATGGGCATGCTAGAGACACGTTATTCTGCCATCAACCAACGCCCAAAGTCCTGGTGGCGACCCTGGGGCTGTGGTCACACATGTGGCCATCACTGACCCAAGCCCACTCTTGGCCCGAGATGCCGTGGGCCCAGACTGTGATAAACACCGCAGCCACCGACTCCGTTCCCAACCCCAGGACGAGCCCCAGGGAGCAACATCACTGTTGGGAGGTGGTTCCGCTCCCTCACCCCTTCCACAGCCAGACGGCCGCTGATGGGCCTGGGACCAGCCTGGGCTGAGGGTGAGGAAGCTTCTGGAAAGAGTTCCCCGTCTGTTCAACTGGCCACCAACCTGTCTTTCCCATGACTGCTCACGCACACTTTGTGAGGGCAGGAAGGGGAACCAAGAAGTCGATCAGGGAAGAAGCGGTCTGGCCGCCCAGTACGGCCTCCCTCGCACGGCCATGAAGAGGGGGCCGTGAGGGGGGACCCTGCAGAGCCCTTTGGAAACCAGTTCAAGCACCCACGTGCTGAGGGACCCTGCCTGCTCGGCTGCGGCAGCCCACCGGGCCCTGTGTACACTCAGGCTCCGTCGGGGACGGCGCCTGTGCAGAGCGTCGGTGAAGGGGCCGGGCGCAGCCCGCTTACCTCTGGAGTGTTCTTCTTGAACTCCCGGCTCTGCTCGATGAGCCGCTTCCGAGACTGCTCGCTTTCATCCTGCCGGTTTGCCAATACTGTTGCGGTGGCATCGAGTTCCCTCTGCATGGAGACACGAGAGGAAAGACAAGATTGTAATTGCTTGGGGACAGGTGGTTGAGGACGGGGCGGGGGCCATGCACCCCCGACGCTGAGGTCCCGGGCTCACACCTATCTCCCCGCCACCACCCCGTGCCCGTTCAGCTGGTCCAGCCCGGGACCCAAGGCCCACACAGCTGCCCTGAGCCTTTCGGTGGGCACAGGCGCTCTTGGGGGCTTTCTGTTTGCATTCCTCCCGTATGCGGGGTGGTGAGGGTAGAGACCTCTCGAGGGAAGAAATGACTTGTTTACGTTCAACAAATATTTACTGTGGGCTTTGGAGAGGATCAGCAACGCGGTACCTCACCCTCAGCCCGTCAGGACCATAAACATTAACTGGCCACTTGCTTCCAGTGGACGCTTTAACAGGCGATTCCAAGAATCACAAGCTCGGGATCTTGCAAACTTTGGAACCCGGGAGCAGTTTTCTGCTCCACCGATTTCCCTTGCACGGACACTCCAAGGAACCCGGGCTGACACCAGCGCATCCATGCAGCCGGCCCGGCCCCGTTCCAAATACGCCTGTGGCTGAGGGTGCGAGGGGCCTCCAGGCCGGCCCTGAGGACGCACTCCGGGTCCTGCTGCTGGTGGCTTCTTGGGGCACTGACTGCAAGGCTGAGGGGGTGCGGAACCTCAGCAACAAGGGCCTCGCCACGACAAGGAGCCCCACGCCGACCCCAGGGGAGCCCACCCGCTCTCCTGGATGAGTGTGGGGGGTGTCTCTGAGCCACACCGGGGGCTTGGCGGGGTGTCCCTGTCAGGCGAGACGGCAGCGTGCTGGGACCGGCAGCCGGCCGGCGGCTGTCGGCTCGGACACGGAGACGGTTTCAAACGGGAAGAGGGAACGGTGGGATGGAGGTGGCCCAGCCCCACCCGCTCCCCTGCTCCCCCTCGTATTCCTGGCACGGCGGTGAATCTCGGGCAGAACAGTCCGGGAGAACATGGGCTGGCATTCCAGAGCAGATGCCAAGGCGCTGCCGTGAAGAGGGAAACACGGCTCGCTCCGACAGACCACATTTGAAACGCGGCCCAGTCGGTGCCGGCGAGGGAAAAAGAGCAGCCGCAACGCATGTGGCGCCGTGGGGCGAGAGGAGGCAAGCAGATAAGCAGAAGGCTCTGCAAACTATAAACAGTCTGCGAGGGAGGAGGGCCGCGCGTCTATATTTAAGCAGCAGGAGCAGAAGTTAAAAAAGGAGCCTCGGAGAAGGGGGAAAAATCCAATAGTGAAAGATGACACAGAAAAGCGGAGCCGACGTGCCGCTCCGATCACGCGGGACAGGTGCGACTTCAGGGGGCCTGGAGGGGGAGGAGCCGCCCACCCAGCAGTCTCCGCTGATCTGACCCAGAGCCCAGATGGACACCTCCCCCATCCCGTGGGAAGCTTGAGGGCAGCAGAGAGAACGTGGGGGTCACCCTCTGCCTACTCGGCTCCCTTCACGCCCCTCGTGCCCTAACGATCACCCCAGCTGAGCGCCGAGAAGCTCCCGGGACCCGCCCCGCCCTTCCTGCACGGGCGGTCAGAGGGGGGTCCCACGCCAGAAGCCAACTGGGTGTCCCCAAGTGTGACGCTGCGCTATCGCTCAGAAGCTCCAAGCCAACACAGCGTTGCTGCCCGGAAGCGGGTGGTCAGGCTCAAGGCCCACGACCCCTGAGCGAGTCCCTAGAAAAAAAATGACCACCAAGTCCTGACACGGGGAGAAGGCGACTCCACAGGGAAATGAACTCAATAGCAATGGGCACAGGCCAGACACCAGGACACAGCGACGAAGAGACTCGGGGCGGGGGTGAGGCCGGGGGATCCCCCCACATCTGAGCCCCCACACGTGAAAGGCAATGACAGGACCAGCCGCGCCACAGCCCCTGGACGGCAGCATGTGCAGGCACGGGCCGGAGCCCACACTGTCTCTCCAGACACAGACCGGGCGGCCATGCCCAGGGCAGGGGACAGGCCACCCCAGACCACACGCTCCAGTCCTGCCAACATGGGGGAGGCACATGGCAGGGCCGGACACATGCTCTGCCGAGGCGTTCCCGAGCTCGGTGGTCTGCAGGGCGATGGCCGGGCACAGGACACTTGATCTCGTCACTCGTCCTGGGGGCTTCCAAAGCAAGCGAGCGAGCATCAGCCAGAACAGCTGCTGCCTGGGCTGGCCAGGTGTGGGAGCACAGGGGATAGTCAGGATCGCTCTCCCCGGGACCTGGAGGGCCTGGCTCTGAACCACGGTGCTCCAACAAGGTGGGAGAGTCGGGGGTTTGGGGGCAGGGGCTTCGGGGGGCAGGTGCCTGCATCAGAGAGGGGTTTTCCCATCACAGAAAACACGGGCTGGTCCAGGTCAGTAGGGGGCCAAGGACAGGGACCTCTGGCCTGGGAGCGCAGGGTCTGTGCACGAAGGTCACCTGTTCTGTCAGCCATAGCGACTGCCGCTGTGGGGGAGAAGGGGGACTGTGGGGATGTGGGGGGACAAATAGGGACTACAGGGGGCCACGGGGGGGGCGGCAGGGCGCTGCACCCTCCCTCCAGCTTGTCTCTGGGAGGGATGCTTTTTCTCCACTCCGACAGAGCCTCACGGACAAAGATTCCTAACATGTTAAGTCTCTCTCTGTTGAACACCAGCCTTCTAGCCAAGTACTAAAGGTTTATAAACACACACAAATATAAAATAAAAAGCAGCCACATAGCTGCCTATGTAAAAGAAACTTGGTGGTGGTGGTGGTGGGGGGGGGATTTTCCAAATATACCCAGTCCCCCCGCAGCGTCAACTCTTGAGGACTGGCTGGCGGGCGTCAGGAACTGCCGGGCGACCCCCCGGCCCCTCCCGCGGCATCAGAGGTGCTAACCAGAGTCCGGGCCGGCGCCCTCCCTGGAGGCCAGCGCCATTTTCAGCAGAAGCATCACTTAGACAGAAACCAAGCTACTCTGGCCAGAAAGCAGCGACAGGCTGAAGCTCACCTCCTGTCTCTATCTGACCCCCCAGATCCCCACAGACCCCAAATCCCAGGCTGCCAGGGGCACCCGGTCGAGTCCAGGCTCCACCCAGCTCTCGGCTGTGCGGTCTGTGGCCTCTACTCTGCTCATGGCTCTGGGCCAGCCCGAGGCTCCGGCAAGGCCTCATCGGCGAGAGCCACACACTGGACACCACAGATGCCACCAGCACTGCAGCCAGGCCTGGAGGTCCAGGGACAAGAGACGGACCCACGGTGAAGTGGCCGAGCCAGACAGGGAAGATTTTCTGCAAGAGCCTCCCGCCTGGGCTGGCGGCACCTTCTGCAGCCGGCATGGCCCATGGCTACAGCGCGGCCCTGTCAGGGCCCAGGCGGGCTCAGAGAAACCAGGTGTGTGGGGCACAGGTCTAGGAAGGGAGATGAGGCTGGCTGGCTGGCACAGGCATGATGGAAGGGGTGCGGAGAGCAGAAGGGGGGCACAGAAAGACCTGGTGTCGTTAGCACAGTCTCCTTCACTCCCCAGACACGGCCTACAGTGACCCAGACATGGCGCCCAGATGCCAGGGGATGCCCGGACACGAGGCATCTCTGCACAGTGCACCAGAGCCGAGCAGGTCCATCCTGGGGGAGTCGTGGGGGTGGCACGGGCGCAGGGCGGGGCGCGCACTTCTCCTCAGTGCCTTCTGAGCGTGCCAGGGCAGCGGCTGCGCCTCAAAAGCAAACATTTCTCGTCCCGCCCCTCCATTCCTTCTGACAAGGGCCCGCGGGCGCCTCGCCTCAGGGAGGTCCCCTGGCCGGGCCCCCTGGGAGGGACGGGCGATCCTGTTTGTGGTGCGTGCACTGGATGGTGGCCTCGGGCTCAGGAGAACCCCACCGAATCCCCCACGCAAAGGAAAACGTTCCCAACACGTCTGTGGGGCTGGAGCACAGGACCGCACCTGGGCCCCTGTCACCTCCACGACTGCCAAACAAGACCCTGAATCTGCCACAGCAGCCTGCTAAGCAGCTGACCCCAGGCCCAGTGGCCAGTTTCCATGCAAGCCTCGGGGCCAGCGGCCAGGAAAGTGGAGGGTGTCACCCTGCCTGCCCCGGGCCGAGTCCCCAGCCCCCGGGATAGCGGCTAGGAGAGCAGAGGCAGGGACGGGGTGAGAAACGCAGGTCATGGGGCATGCATGCAGCTTCCTGCCCATGGAGGTGGCTCGTCCCCAAGTGCATGTCACCACGCGGTGGTGGACACACAGCCCTGGCATAGGCCCGCTCTGGCATAGCATCCCTGCCCAAAGGCCTCCGGTGCGTAGAGTAGTAGTGTGGTGGATAAGGAGCTGGCCTTGCACACAGCCAACCTGGGGTTGGTCGCCGGCATCCCACAAGGTCCCTCCCAGCCCTGCCAGGAGTGACCCCTGAGTACCACCTGGTGCTCCCAAAACAACAGCAACAACAAAGCCTTCAGTGGTGTCCCAGGGGGCTGCGATGACCCCCATGCCCACCCAACCAGCACCGGACTCTAACTTCCGAGTGTGCCCAGAGTAGGGGTCCCCCCCTTGCCCCTCAGGCCCTGGCCCAGCAACCTGTTCTCTTTCTTCCCGACTCCCCAAGCCCCACATGCTGCCTCCCCCAAAGGCTGTGTGTGTGCCTCAGGCCCTGGCCAGTCCCTACAGAGGGACCCTAGCCTGCCTGTGCGGCCACGCGGGGGCAGTGGGCCGGCCAGAGGTGCTGCTCACCAGGGGATCCCGTAACTGGGAGCAGGAAGGAAGCGTTACACACATCTGTGTCGCTTTGTGAAATGAGAGGAGGAGTGTGGAAAGAGAAAGAAAGGCAAAATCTGTGACAGGCTACCACAACATGAGGGGGAGGAACGCAGCAGGGGTTCAGGACTCTACCTGCTCTGGACAAAGCCAGAGCAGCCAGGAACGGGGCAGGGAGGTGGGGGTCCATCAGCGCTGGTAAGGCTGGGGACAAGCGAGCACTCTGGGTCACTCCTTCCTTCCACGTCACCATCTGACTCTGGGAATGAGCCCTAT